CCATCTTTCCATTGCTGCCTCTCTCGTTGTTGTTGCTACCGATGTTGCTGTTGCTGCTGGCGTTGATGCTGCTTGTGCTGCCTGGGCTGCCCGTGGTGCAGGTGCTGGTGCTGTGTAAAGTGTCGGGCCCTCTTGGAGCCATCTTGGGCCCTCTTGGGGCCCTCATGGGCCTGTTGGGGCCCTGCGGGAGCCTTCTGAGGGCCCTTAAAAGGCCTCCGAGAGGGCCAACAATTGAACACACATTTAACACAAACCGCCTCGTTGTTTGAGAGCGTCTTGCGTTCTTGTGTTAAAATTGTGTTTAAACTGTTGGGCCCTCTTGGAGCCATCTTGGGGCCTTTTGGGGCCATCCTGGGCCCTCGTGGGGCCCTGCGGGGGCCGTCTGAGGGCCTTGAGAGGCCTCCAGGAGGGCCAAGAATTCAACGCAAGTTTACACAACAACTGCTCCTTATTGGAGAGCGTCTTGTGTTAATTTGGTGTGAAGTTTCGGGCCCTCTTAGAAGTCCCCAAGAAGGCCCAAGAGAGACTCAAAAAGGCCCCAGGAGAAGGCGGTTTGTTAGCTCCCACGCGAGGGGGTCACCATGTATCCGCTGTTTGTACACATGCTTCCTCTTGCGGGGCTCGGCTTGAGGTTCGGAGGGCCTTCAGGAGGGTCCCAACCTGAGGCATCCAAAGACGTCGCGTGAGCTTCGAGTGCGATTGCGCTGCTCTGAGAAAGCTCCGAGACGGCCGCAAAGCGCTCTAAGACGCTCATAGTGGCTTCAAGACAACCAACGAGACCCTGTAGACGCCCCCGGGGGCTCCTAGAGGACCCCCCGGGGGCTTCAAGAGGCCAAAACCAGAGCTCTTCAAGCATTTTTGAAGGATTTAAGCGTTCTCGCTTTTACTGGGTTCCAACGCTCCACGACGGCCCAAGAGGCCACCAGGATCGCCCCAAGACGTCTCAAGAGGCCCCCGAAGAGGGCCCCAAGACTACCCACGAGGGCACCAAGAACCAAGACGACCCATGAGGCCCACAACGCGGCCCAAGAGGCCCCCAGGACGGCACCAAGCGGGGACCCAGGGGGCCATCGGAACTCACGTTGCGAGATTTTGTCCATCAGGATCGCCTCAGGCGGCGTGAAGGCATGCGGAGAGCCTTCGCAAGTAGACGCGGCGCCGGGGTCACCCTGTATCCGAACAGTGTTCGAATTGGTACATTTCTAAGACGATCGCGGAGCCTCTTGGGAGCCCTTCTGGGGACCGAGGACCTGCTGGGGGTTTCTCAGGGCCTGATATGGGGCCTCTTGGGCGCCTCTTGAAGTATACTGAAACTTCTGAGGGGCTTCTTACGGCGTCTTGGGGGACCCTTTGGGGGGCTCTTCTGCTGAAGCCCCAGGAGGCAAGAAGGTCCTGAAACGTCTCCGGGTCACCTGGAGATGCTGCAACATCCGGGTGACCCGGAGACCTGTTGGGGCCCTCTTGGAGCTCTCTGGGGGGCTCCAGGACGGCCTGGGAGCGCTGAGAAAAGGCCCCAAGAGGGCCTCTAGAAGACAAGATTGTCCCGAAAAATCTCCAGGTCACTCGGAGATGCTGCAACACTATCTCTGGGTGATGTTTTCCTCCCTCCGCGTGTTGGGTCCTGCGGCCCAGGGAACCTCGACCCGTGAACCAGAAGCTTCCCTCCCCCCTTCCCCTGAGCCTCTGCGGCGGCAGCCAGCCGCGCCTCCGCCGCGCCGCCGCCGCCGACCACCACGACGCACCTTAGCTGCCCCGTCACGCAACACGCAACCCGTTTCAGTTAGACACAGAACTCAACACGTAGACTGAACACGCAGGCTTGGCCCGATACGGACGCCGAAAGACACCCCAACACATACTAAACCAGCACGCAGCGTGTTGACACGGACGTCTTGAACACGGAACGTGTTGCGCTTCAAAGCGGGCGTTCCAAGGCAACTGAGCGACGCACAGCTCCTCCGCGCTGGCGGCCCCCGCGCTGGCTGCGCCCGCCGCGGCCGCGGCGCCGGCGCGGCCCGCGCCCAGCAGCGGCAGCAAGGTGCGGGCGGCCCCGCAGGCAGCGCGCCGGGGCGGTGGCCGCCCGCGCATTGTGGCGCGGGCGGCGGCGGCGGCGGCGGCCGCCCTGCCGCGGCCGAGGCCTCTCTGGCGAGCGCGCGCGGTGGCCGCCGCTGCTGCGACGTGCGGCTTCCTGCGGCCTGGCGGCTGCTGCCCCCTCCCTCCCCCGTCATCCTACCATTCACGCTTCTTTCTCCTCCTCCTGCTCCTCAAAGGCCGTCTCCCTTCCCATCCGTTGTCCTCCTCCTACTGCTCCTGGTTACTCGTGCGCCCTAAGCCTGAGTATTGCTCCTCCTTCTCATCCTTGTCCTCCCCCTCCTCCACGTCCTCCTCCTCCTTCTCCACTTCATCCCCTTACTGCCCCCCACCCAAACTTACCCTGCCCCTCCTCTCATTGCCTCTGCCGCGTGCTTGCTCATCCTCCTTGTCCTGTTTCCTTCACGTCGTCCTCCTCCTCCTCCTCCTCCTCCTCCTCCTCCTCCTTCCTCCTCCTCCGCCTCCTCATCCATCCCCCTCCTCCTCCATCCCCCTCCTCTTCCTCCTTCTCCTCCTCCTCCTCCTCCTCCTCCTCCTCTTCCTCCTCCTCCTCCTCCTCCTCCTCCTCTTGCTCCTCCTCATCTTTCTCATCATCCTCGTCTTCCCGCCTCCACTCCCCGCATCCCTCTTCCTCCCCCGGTCCCGCCTCTCTTCTCCCTCCTATCCCCTCCCTTCCCCTTCCTCGATCTGTTCTTGCTCCTCCTTCACTACCTCCCTCCGCCATCCTCCCTCCTTCGCTTGCCGCTTGCTTCTCTCTCTTTCTCTCCCTCTACTAATGTACTGCCGCTCGCCTGTTTACTGGTGTATACTGGTTTCAGCTCCCACTTCCGCCATGCACGCCCGCCCCCTCTGCCCCCTCCTCGCGTTACCGCCTCCATCCCCCCGCCTCTCTTTTCACTCCTTTCCCTCCCCTGCCCCGCGCTGTTCTGACCCCTCCTCCACGAGGTCGTGACAGTGCTAGCACAGCCTCCCCTAACCAGACGACATCCTCCACCACCCTTCCTATTCCAGTTCCGCCCTGCACGGCCCTCCACCTTCCTGCCCTCCTGCTCGCCCACGTCCCTGCTGTGGCCGTGCCCCCCGCCCCCCCCCCTCGCCCACCCCTACCACACACCATGCGGGCGAAGAGCGGAACAGGGCGGGCCGCCCCCGTCGCGGCGCGGAGGGGCGGGCGGGGCCAGGCCGCAGGGTTCGATAGAGACCTACGGTAGGCCTATGCACAGCGTGCGGTAGGACTACGGTAGACATACGCATAAGCCTATGGCAGGCCCTACGCGTAGCTTATGTATAAGCCGATCGTAGTCCTATGCGTAGTCTATGCGTATGCCTGTGGCAGGCTATGCGTAGGCCAATGCATGGGCCAATGCATAGTTTGCGCACAGGCCCATGGTAGGGCAACGGGAGGCTTGCCGTAGGTCTACCATAAACCTGTGACAGGCCCGCTGTGGGAACCTACCCGTAGCCTAACAGGCCTACAATACACCCACCTCCAGCCTATCATGGGTCTTTGGTAAACCTAGCAATAACGCCCTGCATGACAAATGCATAAGTCTATGGCGACACATGGTAGGCCACGCATACGATATAGCCGGGATCCTTGATTGGACAGCCCCAGGGCTCGGGGGCCGAAGACGACGCACAACCCCCGCCTCGATCCACTCGAATGCACGAGGCCTGCGTGCTCGCTTTCTCTGCCGCTCGCACTGCCGTTCCCGCGCGGCCCCGCGCGGCCCCACCCGCGCACGAAGGCCCCCAGCACGTAACCGTAGCTGCCCGTGGCCTCCTCGGAACTCCGTGGCGGCGCCCACGGGCCGGCGTCCAGCCCGCGCGCGAAGCGCTGGACGAACCAGGCCGCGTCGCTGAACACGCTCGCGTAGCGAGATGACTCCTAGGGCGGGACCAGTCTCGGCGGCGAGCCAGAGGGGGGAACTTCTGAAAATTTGTCCAAGCCGTCTCCGAAGACAAAGCCGGCTTCTCATGAGACCTGAGGGCTTCTGAAAAGCTCCGCCGCCTTCTGAGAAGGCCTGCCCATTCTCACTTTCCCCTGTGCGCGCCGCCGATCCTTGGGCAGGACCAGTCAGAATCGAATCGGGCAATCGGATCGGATCCGAACGTGCGGTTGATCGGGCCGCATCAGCACTGAGTGGATATCGAATCGAATTGGCTGTGCAAGGATGCACAACAGCGCCATGCAAGCAACGGGCCGCATCAGAAACGAATCGGATCGAATCAGCTGGAATCGATATCGAAACGGATCCATCGGCTCACAATGGACCGTGTAGGGCGACGACATCCGATACTCCCAGACGCCCTCATGTCATGACACATCACGGCGGGTGTTTTCTGTAATGTTCGGTCTCTGGGGGGTGAAGGGTGGCAACGTCATATGAACGGTCTCTGGGTCATGCACGGTCTCTGGGCGCCCCCGTGGCCGTCAAAACACAACTAAGGATCAAACGGCGGTGCCCGGGATGGGGTCCAGACCTCTGGGGGTCCACGTCGTGAAGAAGTCATGAGGTCGGGGGTCTGGGTCTATACGCACATCCAATGTCCCTGGCCAGGCCCATGCTGGGCCCAAGAGCGGTGTATACGCCATCCATGGCTTGGCCAGAGTGGAATCATGTACACCGCTCTGGGGCCCAGGATGGGCCTGGCCAGCAGTGGGTAGGTATACGGTTGGGAACTTTCGCTCAGCCTGTCGCGGCGGACAGCCCCAGCGACACGCTGTGCCCCGCCAGCGGATAGCGTGTCGCTTCGCTCCGCGTGGGGGGAGGCCGGGGGAGGCTCGAGACGTCGTCGCTCGGGAAATGGGGCATGGTTCGCGTGCCGCGCCGAAGCGTGCTGCGCCAGAACCAGCGGCGCGACAGGCTGAGCTGAAATTCCCGACCAGAACTCTTGTAGGGAGCCCAAAAGTATACACCACCACCACCTCCCTCCCCCCCTCCCTCTCGCTGGAAAGAGGAGAGAGGAAGAATCGACGTGGTGGTGGTGTATATTCTTTGGGCCCCCATCTTGCCGCCCGAACTCCATGGCCACCCGCGTCAGGTGCCGGCCGTCTGCGTCCCGGTACCTCGGGTCGAGCCGCGGGACGTCGTGCACCGCAGCCACGCACACGCCGGGGAAGCGGTCCAGCGCCGCCTCCGCGAGCCTCACGGCCACTCTGCCCTTGGTCAGGAGGCAACTTCTGGGAGGTCTTCGCAAGACCGATTCATAAAGGACTACAATCGGGGAAGGAAGGGACCTCCGTCAACAAAACGCCATTCAAAGAAAACGACCCGGGACCAGACCACCAAACATTGTGCCCGCAACACCATCTCAAGAACAGAAACCATGAATTCGCTAATCGACTTGGCGGTGTGGGGGTTCTATCAACCTCCGATGGTAAACCCGAGTTCGGGGCCATTGAGCCGAGATGGAGCCCAAGATTAGGCCGGATGAAACGAGATTCAAAAAATCTGAGCACAACGAGGTCGGATTACGCAGGTGCTCGTCCATGGCTTCTCTTTGGTGCGAGAAGATGGGAACGGACGAAATGCCCCCACAGCTTCCAGCCTCCAATGTGTGAGGCGGCATCTGCGCTTCAGACCACGGATCTGCCAGCGCCGATGCCGCGCTCGAGCCTCCCGAGAGTTGCTCCCTGGCCAGCCTTGGGGCCGTCCAGGAAGAGCGCCACGGCACAGGCGCTGGCGCTCGCGGCCCGCCCCGGCGCGGTGGCGCCCTGGAGGATGCCGTCGAGCAGGGAGAAGGCGTCCCCGATGCGAAAGTCGAGCACGCCGCCGCAGGCGCGCCGCAGCTCGCCCACGACGAGGGGCGACGGCGGCACGCGCTCCAGGGCGATGACTCGGCGGCCCGGGGCGGCGCGCGCCCAGAGGCACGCCGCCCTCGTGGAGCCGCCCTGGTTCACGCCGGACTCGACGACGGTGCTGGCGCCCACGAGGTCCACGAGGCCGCGGAAGAAGAGCGCCTCGTAGAGACGGACTTGATCGGAGAGGACACGCGAGAGGACACGGGACCCTTCCGGGGGCCACGTTGCCACAGAAACGCAGGAGGCGCGGGTCGCAAAGCACAGGACACGAGGGTACCCTTGATCTGGCAGGATCGACCTACTAATCCGGGCCGCCTGTAGAGACGATGAAGGGCTATCTCATGAAGGGATCAGAAAGCCGAATCAGCGCAGGTTGGGCCCAAAATTAGGCCCGATGAAACAAGATTATGCGGGAAACAAGCGGGATTATGCCGGATCTGGCTGGAAATGCCAGCGCAGATGTAGGAGTTGCATCCGGACGCCTCGGAGGGCAGGATGGCGCCGTTGAGGGATGCGAGCGCACCGAGCTCGGCCCGCTCCCGCTCGAGGGAGAAGCGCTCGTCAATGTGCCGACCCAGGTGCTCCTCTGGCACGAGGCAGGCCCAAACCCTTCGCGTCGTGACACAAATGTCGACGGGAGGTTCTTGGAAATTTCCAGCCTCTGCGGACCCCTGCTGGGCCCTGGGACACTCAAAACACGACTCAAGGCACAACAAAAGCTGGTCCAAGGGAATGGGTCCAGACCTCTATAGGGGCCCACGTCGTGAAGAAATCATGACGTCGGGGGTCTGGGAACGGGTCCGTAGGGAAACGGGTCCTGGGCCCCCCCGGGCCGTCCCCCTGGACCAGCTCGTCATTCTGAACCGCCTCGGTTGACGGCCCAGGGGCCAGGTGAGGGCCGAGGGCCTTGGCAACACGAGAGCGGCGAAAAGCCTCAGAACCCCTCTGCCTCAGGACCTGCTATCTTCATGGCGACTCCTCGAGGGCCGAGGGCTCGACGGCGTGCAGGTCTACTGGCGCCTCGCCGACAGGGCTGGCGAGGCGAACCTCGGCGAGCGCCGCCGCCTCGGTCAGCGCGAGCGCCTCGAGTGCGGGCCAGGGGCTCCTCATCAGCGAGCGTAGCGCAGCACCTCGGGACCCGGTTGTCGCCGACGTGGTCGCCGCCACCGCCAAAGCTCAGATGCCGCCGCCGCCGACGCTCAGACGCCGCCGGAGAAGCGTAGCCAGAGCCGCCGAAGCTCAGACGCTGGCCGCCGAAGCTCCGACGCCGCAGCCGTCGTGGTGGCCGTTGCCAACGCACTTCGAGGAGGCGTCCAGACGCATGCAGGACGCGCTGCTCGAGCAGGCCACAATCTGATCGTGTTCTGCTCCAGGCACCCCCGTAGCCTCGAGTGTGCGGAGTCGTTGGTGGGTATCGTGCGTCTGTCTACGGCGCAGCGCTCTCGCGAACACCCTCAGGAAAATGTTGTCATAAATCCTCCTTATCCTGCCTTCTCTCCTTCTTGACCCCTGTGTGCACAAAGTCTCAAATAGGATTGTCAGAGGCGTTTCAATACAAATTGCTGTCGCCAGGTTACCAGAGGCCCAGAGCATCGTTCACAAAGCATCGGAAAAGGTGTAGCGCCGAGCAGGACGGGGAGCCAGAATGGGATGAGTATGCAAAAGCTATTGGCGAGAAGCCCGCGAAGTGTGGAGTGTGCTTCCAAGCCGAGTGCCTGCTCGCACGCGAACCTTTTCGTCCGTTCGACACTCGGTCCGTCGTCGCGCACAGGTGGACGGGGGATGCAGGGCGAGTGGGGCGGCCTTCCAACGAAGCGGGGGGCTTCTCAGGACCGACCTTGCCTTCCGAAACGCTTCCTTTGGCCTCGGGTCTCTGGCGCGCGGCACCGGAGGAGGAGAGGGATGTTGGAGGGATGGGGCGGGAGGCACAGAAGGGACGGCGGAGGAAAAGGAGGAAGAGGAAAACCAATGTAAACCAAAGACCCAGCAACGATGTCGCAATACATCCTCCACCCAAGCTCCCTCGTCATAGGTCCTCCTACAAAGAACAAGCGTTCAGTGGGGGAAATCACCCATTGAAACACAACCTTCTGATCATCCACAAACGGATCAAAACACGATTCCTGGGGCTTCAGCGCCACAAATCATCATGATTATTGCGTGCTGACAATCCTAAACCGAAAGATAACGCCATTCTTGGGACTTCGACGCCACGATTCAACGCTACTGCTGCGTCCTGTCGATCCTAAGCCGTGACGGACAATCATGGGAGTTTGACCACACGAGTGGTTAAAACTGTGCTAGCCTTTTTTACGACGAATGCGCGAGGCGCTGATGCGAGAGCCACATTATGAACAACAAACGGCCTTCCCACAACGAAACTGCTACCAACTTTTCGGACCGGTGTGCGCGGCCCTACGGCGGGAAGCACATTTCGACAACGACCCGCCCTCGATCTGCGAATCCGCTGCATGCTTTTAAAGACGAGCGTGCGCGGAACTGGAGCGAGAGTCACATGTTGGGAACCACCCGCGCTCCATCCGTGGAGTTGCTGCGAAGTGTTAAAAGGAAAATGCGCGGCACGAGCGCGAGAGCCTCATTGTGAAAGCCACCATTGCCCTCAACGCGCGAAGCTGATGCGCATTTCAAACTTCAGGGTGCCACGGGTAGGAGCTATTCTCAATGAGTGGAAGAGGAGGAGGAGGGGGTGGAGGAGGCAGGGGAAGGGATATGCTTAGTGTCGATGCGATGCGATGTTCACCACAAGCGGTCGTTCCCTGCTGCGGGCACGTCGAAAAAATGCTAAGCCCTCCCTCCGTCCTGGCGTCGGGAATGCTTGTAGCAGAAAGCGGCGTCGGGAAGGGAGGTAGGTGGATGCGGCAGCAGTGATCGTCAACATTGCTACCCTACTGCTTTCCCCTCCTCATCCTTCCTGTACTTCGCCCGCCCATACGGTGGGCGAGCGCGCGCAAAAAGGCAGACCTCCACCGGAGGCAGATGCGGTCCGCAGATGGGATCACGGCGGGATCTTCGCCCCGAAGCGTCCTCCACCGGAGGCGCAACAAAAAGTAAACCTACCTCCGCCGGAGGCGGCAGCGAACCGCGGATGGGCTCTTCGCGGGATCTTCGCCCCAAAAACCCTTGCGGGGTCTTCGCCCCCCGCGCTGTCTGTCCTCCGCCGGAGGAAAGGAGTACACTGCCGGGGCTCCGCCCCGAAACGCCCTACCCTGGAGGATGGTGTTAATGGAAGGCAGCGCGTGCGGCGTTGAGCGTTCCGCTCACGTCTGATCGGGGGGGCAACCCCGCTTCTCGTGCTGCCGGAAAGCCGCCGCTGGCTGCGCCGTTCGCCCGGGCCACTTCAGCGCCCGTCCTTCGGGGCGCCGTCGGCAAGGAAACTTTGGCACCGATTGCCCCAGTGGCCCTCCTGGAAGCACAAGCGACGCACACTGTGCCCCGGCAGCTCCGAGGGAATGCTTCCATGGGCGAACTGGCCCGCTGCGGGCGTGGAAGCGCCGCCCCTTGCACTTGGCGCCCCGCTTGCTTCCCATGCCGTGGCCCGCGGCGGAATAGCTCGCCCCCGAGTTCCCCCCCGCCTGCTGCGGCTGCGCCGGAGGCCGACCTGCGGTGGACTGGCGCCTCGTGCCGCACTGGGGCAACTTCTTCTTTTTCTTCCATGTCGGCGCTGCTGCGTTCCGACGAGGACGACTCCTCTCCGCTGCTTGACCCAGCCCGGTGGCGATGCGCAATCATCTCGGGCGCCTGCGCCCGTGTCCTCGCCTGGCGAGCCTGCTCCTTCCTCAGCCTTTCCGCGCGGTCCGAGCAGAGGGCGGCCTGGCGGCCGAGGACGAGCATCCAGTGGGCCGTTGCCGCCGGAAGTCCTTCTTGGCGGGCGACCGCGAGGTTCCACCGCGCGCGCTTCTTGCCGTCGCGAACCTCGTCGTTCCAGCGCTCGGACAAGTCCTCCAGAGCGCGCGGCGGCGGGCGGGCCATGGCCTGGGCGCGCCGCGCGGAAGAAGTTCCCGAGCCAGAGCAACCAGCAGCTGTCGCTTAGCTCCTGAACCGCCTCGCGGTCAAACGTGAACCGCTGATCGTCCACTTCCAGGG